TATACTCAATAATCAGCACCAGCTAGCATAAGGCTCTGGACAATTTCACATTCTTGGAACATAGGATCAGCTGACCTTGCCCACAGGGTCCCTTGTCCTCACCCCTGTCAGCACTAGCCTAGCTAATGAGGTTGGAGGAACAGGACACTGAAATCAACCACCCTTCCAGAGAAGCACTTTTCTCACATTTGTCTCAAATGTGCTACCACCAAGTCATTTCTTCTAGCACATTCCTTCCCAATATAGAACTCCTGGCAGGGGTATTGCCATCATCTCTGAACACATGGGAACAAGCCAGTCCACTGGGCACAGAAGGGGCAGGAGGGAAGAAGGCTGAAAGGAGAGGTAACAACAGCCCTGTGGTGTCTGGGAAGGAAAACAAAAAGAGCATCAGGTCTCTGGAAGGAGCCCCGAGAGGCTGGCAGTACTGGTGCCTTGAGAAGGTGGGAGAGGGCACGAGAGTGACCGAAGCGATTTATTTCATTAACATCTTTTGATATCATCTGAATTTGGTACTAGCCACATGGATTGCCTAATCAAAAAATACTAGCAACCTAGACAATGAGGCACAGATTTGGGATGCCAGTACTTAGAAGGCTGATGGAGGATTGTGAGCTATAGGCTAACCTGGGCTACACAGCAAGAACCCATCTCAAAGCAAAATAAAACAGAAGGAGGATTTAGAGAGGCAGGAAGGGAAGAATAACGTTCTGTCCCCACAGATCTCCAACCATCCTGACAGGAGCTCCTGGAAAGCTCATGCACGGTCAAGCAAGGGTCAAGGTCAGAGACTGCATGCCCCAACAGGCTCATCGGCTGCCCTTAGGAACCATTCAGGGAGGGCACAGCTTCCCTGATGTCAGCACCTCTCCCACACAGAGGTGTGAATGAAGTCCACGGTGAACAGAACAGGGATAGGATATCTTCTTTCTTACTGCTAGACATTGACAAGCTATTTCTACTCCATTGGGCAGAACCCAGCAAAAAGCCCATGAAGAAATTCCTGTCCTAGGACCTGTATGAAGCACATCACACATCCTTCCTCTGAAGGTTGGGAGGATCATGGACACTTCCCAAGAAAGAATCTAAATCACTGTCATGGTCCCTAAACATCACCAAGCACCTTTCACCAATTTTCCCCTTTACAATGTCACCACATTTGGGGGGTGGTTGTTTGGTTTTTTAGTTTATTTGCTTGTTAGTGTTTTGAAATAGGGTCTTACTCTATAGCTATGACTGAATTCAAACTTACTAGGAAACTGGCCTTAAACTGGCTGCAATCCTCCTGTCAGTGCCTCCCAAGTGCTAGGATTACAAGTGAGTGCCCTACACCCAACTAAAGGTCACTAGATCTTGTAGTCAGAAGACGTTAAATTGAATTATGCTCCCCCAAAAGTCAACTGAAGTTCTAACCCCAGAATCTCTCAGCATGAACTTATTTGGAAAAGGGTAGTCATAGATGGTTGAGTGACTGGTTGAGACCACAATGGGATACTGTGGACCCTAAATTCAGTCCAACTGGTGCCCTTACAAGAGAAGATCCAGAGACAAGAGAAGACAACCATGTGACCACAGAGGCAGAGGCTGGTGTGCTTCATCTATACGGGAAAGATACCTGGGCTCACCAGCAACCACTGGAAGCAGAAAGACAGACACATGGACATTTGCCTCTGAGTCCCTGAAAAGGAACTAGGCCTGCTCATTCCTCAACTTTGGAATTCTGATCTACAAACCTCTGGAAGAATACACTTACCTTTTTGAGACACTCAGTTTGTGGCACTTTGTTACAGCTAGTTGCTCTAGGAGACTGACACTTGGCTTCCCTTCCCATTCACCCATGCCTGAATTCTTCTGCCTAGTGGTCAGCTGCCAGCCAGCTGCTATCTCCAGTAAGAGAAAAACAATTCAATGCCCACCTTAGTAGCACAACTTCCCATCTTGCAAGACTCTGACTGGAATAAACAGTCTCACAGTAAATATGCGTTGAACACTTACTACAAGCCAGTTATTGTTTCTGGGCCTGTTGATACAAGCAGCAAACAATGAAAAGATAATAAAAATATTCTCAAAGAAACAAGGTCATTTCTAAGAGAGACAAAGACTAGTACAACACGCTGAAGGGAGTGGGCTGGGGACCAGGGTAATGGGAAGATCATTTTGACTATTAGGGAAGATCTCATTTAACATGTGATACGGGAGTGGTGACCTGAATGACAGGGAGGTGGCTACAGGGAAGTCTGGAAGGAGGAACAACCAGTGGACAGGCCCTGTGGCACAGCGAACTGGGCATGCTTAGGGAGGGACCTCTGCAGTACCTGGGTAGCTGCCTTCCACTGGAGAAACAGGTGAGATCAGTCAGCACCTGTGTCACTACCTGGCAGCTAAGGGAAGTCATCCTGAGAGACCATGGCATTCTTCAAACTGAAGCCTTTCTAACCGGACTGTTTGTCCTTTGCTTCTTGGGACCTTCCCAATAACAGTTCTGAATGTTCTGTAATTCCGACCATCAAGATGTTCCTGGCTTACCAGCTCTAATTCCTGCACCTCAGTGAGTACTCTCGATGGCTTCCTGTGACCTTCATGAAGAGAACACAGTCTCCGAGGCATGCAGTGAATACATGTGCCCATGACTGCCTTGGCTTTCAATCTGGCCTGAAGCACTGACCTGCAGAGGCAGACACAAGGCAACCCCCTGCAGTCCTGTGGTGCTGCCGGGATTTAGAGAATGGGATAAAAGGCTTGTTCTTCCCTAACAAGAACAGCTGTGTATGCTAAAAATAGAAAAGATGCCGCGAAACCTCAAACAATGCCATGTACAAAATCTAGGTGAAACCAGCAGAGCTAACAGCAGCTCTGTGGATTTTACAATGTTTCTCTTCTAGGTGGGTGATGAGGAAAACTCACTGGGGCAGGTCTCCCCAGAACGTCCATGCTGTCTTGCATCATAACTGAGGACACCTGGCCTGTTTGGAAACACTAGGCACTTGAGCAAAGATGCTCAGCAATGCACTTCCTACTGGCTTTCTCAAAGCCTAGAAACAAATCTGAGTTGCCACAGAGGGTGTGTAGGGAGAGGTAACAGGATGGTGAGCTGGCTGGCCAGCCGGGCTGACTGTCAGTGAGGCAAGGAAGGCAGAGAGGGATGCTCCACTCAGCACCCACCAAGCCAAGCAGGAGGCATGATTTACTCAGATGCATCTCATTTCCCCTTGCTGATGGGTTGCTATATTCAACACTTGTAGCAACAAAGTTATTGTGGCACTTTCTTTGCCTCCAAGAGTTAAGTGGCCCTGGACAAGTGAGTCTTGGTTTCCTCATCAGGAGGAATGCCATCTGCCACTCCCAAATTAATGAGGATGAACTAAGAGCTCCTGTTGAAAGTACTTTGTAAGCTCCCAAAGCAAGAGGACACGGTGGCAGTGGAAGCCACCCTGCTACTGCTGTTCCTTCCTGAAGTGGGCTGTCATTCCGCTTTTGATTTCTCTTTTTAGACTGGGTCTTGTTATACAGCCCAGGCTGGTCTGGAACTCATGATATTCCTGCCTCAGCTTCTGGAGTGCTAATAGTACAAGCCTATGCCACTGTACCTGGCTTTTGATATTTCATTTCTTTTTTTAGGAGTTGTTTTTATTATTTAATTTTATGTATTGTGAGTGAGTGTGGGTGCTTGAGGAGGCGAGAAGAGTGTCAGCGTCTGTGGAGACAAGGTTAGAGGTGCTGTGAGTCACCTAAGGTGGTTGCTGGGAACTGAACTCTGGTCCTCTGCAGAAGCAGTACACGCATATGCTCTTAACTTTGAGCCGTCTCTCCAGCCCCTTGACATTTCTTTTAACCTGATTGTTTTCCTTTTGTGAAAGGAATGCAGAGAAGGGAGAGAAGGAAAGAAAGTCAGGTATTCACATGACTTGCCCACTCCATAGCTCCCCTGGGGAGGGGGCTGTCCTAAAAGTAACCATTTGGGGTTACTATGAAACAACTTACCTTCGGAGAAACAACAATTGCCGTGAAGATAAAACTGCAGTTAGCATCTGTAGAGATACCTCACTTCAAATTCTTTAAGACTTATGATATGCTCGTCACACTGCTTATACGTGTGACAGTCTCAGAAAAATAGGAATCCACTCCACATGAACTGATACAGATCATCCAAAAGCCAACCATTGCAAGGAACTTGTGGAATGCAACAGAGACTGCGATAGCCCACCATCACCAACCAGTGTATGAGAGGAAAAGAAAATCTCAGATGTCAACTTTTTCCATGGAGCCCATCTAAACAGCTTATCTGCCATTTTGGTCCTCAAAGGCCTAAATATCCCCATTTCTGGCCACAGTGTGGGAAAGAGGGGAGGGACGTGGCTCACAAAACGCCGGCGCCTCTCTGCTCCTGTCCTGGGGTTCGTGCTCTGTGTCTGCCCTGCTTTCAGGCTTAGGGAGGCGGCAGAGTGGGATGAATCAGAACTCAGCATCGGGTTACAGGCTGGATCCCAGCCTGGTGAGGGCAGCCCGGCTTGACAGCTGCCAGCTCACCTCCACCTCTGACTCACCACCCGGACAGCTCCACGTCGGGGACCCAGCCCGTGCCAGCGCACCTGTGCCGGCAGAGTCGCGCTCCCGCTCACTCCGTAGGTCGCACCCGGTGGGTGCAGCACTTGACCGCCCAGCCTCCTTCCTCCACCCCTTGTCACCTTCCCACGGCTCAACCCGCAACTCGGGGGAGCGCAGACCCGGGCCAGACTGGGTCGGATCTTCCCAAATCCTGCAAGCTGCTCCAGTGCCCGAGCCTTCCCTGGCGGCCCCGCGCAGACCGGCTCGCGGCTCGCGGCCCTCGGCGGGCCCGGCGCTGAGGCTGGGCAGAGTGACAGCCCTGCCCGCCGCACCGACCGTCCAGCCGACCCGCCCACGCCGCCAGCGACCCCTCCTCACGCTTCCCCACCGGTCCCCGCGCAGCCACGCCGCCCAGCCCCTCGCGAGCGCAGCCCCGCAGCCCAAGGCCCTCTCACCCCGGCGGCCCGCGGGACACGGCAGGGGACGGACGCCGTCGGGTCCGCAGCTGCCGCGAATGCGCCGCGCGCGACGAGCCTTGCCCGGTCCTTCTGAGGCGTGGCGGAGCGAGCTGTCAGTCAGTGGGGCTCTCCCCGCCCCTTTGGCACCACGTGACGCGCGAGCAGCCGGGTCCTTCGGAGGTGTGGCGGAGAGCGCTGTCAGTCAGGCGGGAGCGCCCCGCCCCACCCCGCCCCCTACCCTGCATGACGCGGGAGCTGCGGGGTTCTCCAGAGCCCTGGAGTGAGCCGGGCGCCCCGCCTCTGGAGCACCACGTGACACGCCGGCAGTCCGGGCCTTCCGAGGCACTACGAGCGAGCTGTCACTTTGCGGGGAGCGCCCCGCCTCTCTCGGCTCTTGTGCGCAGGCGCAGGAGCGCCCCCGCTTCCCTGCGCCGCGTGACAGCCGCACGGGTTCGCTTCGGAACAGAGTTCCTGCAGAGGGATGACCAGGGCGCGGCTTTTTTTTTTTTTTTTTTTTTTTTTTGCACTCAAGAGTGGTTTAGGAGAGGGAAAAGCTCCTCAAGGAGCGAGGCCCGTGGGGTCAGGTTCAGGTCACTTCCTGACCCTGTCGGAGGTAGCCGAGTCCCCGCGAAGATCCCGTGGACCGACACGCCTTTGAAGGCGCGGGTGGCAAGCTGAATCCCATTTGTCTTCCGAAAGGCGTGTCTTAAAAGACCGGTAGATTGGGCTCTTTTCAAAAACACAGCGTCCAGCCATACAGCTTCTCCCACATCTCTTCAATAGAGAAACACAAAGAGGCTGGGGGTGGAGCTCAGTGGCGGGTCACTGGCCCAGCCTGGCCAAGGTCCTGGCTCCCATGCCTAGAGCCGGGAAGAAAAAGAAAAAGAAAATCAAGGCCGCTCTCCCCGGAGTTTCTGCAGTCGTGAATGTTAGGCAGTGGGACTGGAAGTTAGGCAGCCACTCAGGAAGATGATGTAGGTAGTGTGGTAACCAAGCACCTGCCCTTTGCTGCTAACAGATGCGAACATCTGTCCCACTAAGACTTCTCGGGAAAGTTTAAGAAATGGTGAGGAAATGGCTGGAAGCTGCTGTTCCTGGAGAGTTTGGGACCTTCCAGGTGCACGTGGCCACCCCAGGAGAAGCTAGACCTCTGGGTGTGAGCTTAGTGCCAGAGGGGAGGGGAGGTTGTAGCCTTCATCCTTGTGAGATGCTAGAGATAGGTGCTCAGAAAACTTGCAGGATGGAAGAGGATGCTGCTGGGCTTGAAGGAACCCTCCCCTGCTTCAGTGAAGGAAGCTGGCACTAGGCACCAACTCCTGCCACCTTGACCTCACCTGGACAACTGTTGGAGAGAACTGAAACAATATGGTCATACTCCATACTGAGAGACATCATTTCTTCTCAAGAGATTCAGCAGCACCCTGCCCTGCCTGCTAACAGGCTTCTGACCCCCCTCAGGAAGTTGGACAGAAGCAGATGACATGACATTTTGAAATGAGGAAGAATGTTCTGCAAGCCACAGACCAGTGAACTTGGTATCACTTTGTATCACTTCCCAAGTTCATTTGGGAAGCATTCAGGGCAGATGACTCAGAAAATATTTGTGACCCCCTCTGAAAATGACACACTGAGATGTGATAGGCAAGGGGCAGGAGATGGAGAATGAAAGAGCCTGAGGCTGTGTCTGGGTAGCTGTGTTCTCTGGTGGTCAGGATGTTCCTTTGCAGGTAAACATCCTCGAATCTGCAAATAGGTTGTCCATTTTATGGGAGACTAAGGTACCATAAATCTTTCCCAGTGCCGCACATGGCACTAACAAAAGGTCCACATCTTCAAAAGACCCTTGCTTCATCATGCTATCATTTAGATTGTGTTACACTTCCTGTGGGCTTTTCAAGAGGATCATGGGAATATCCTAAAAGGGAGATTGGCCCAATCATGATTTGTGAGGAGAAAAGAGTCATCCACCATACTTCATAAGTGATCATAAAATCATCCAGACAATGGTGGTGCACGCCTTTAATCCCAGGCGGATCCCTGTGAGTTCGAGACCAGCCTGGTCTACAGAGCTAGTTCTAGGGCAGTCAAGACTACACAAAGAAACCCTGTAGGGCTGGTTGTCAGTGCTTTACCCTGAGGCACCGCCCCTAGTGAGGCAGCAGGTAACTGCTAGGTACCTGCCCCCCCAGGGGGCGTGCCCCAGACTGAGACCCCTTAAGACCTGGGAGGAGTAACTTGCTTGCCCCTTCTTCGCTACCTTGTGGTCTTGGATGCTGGTGCTGCGGATCAAGGCAGAGCTCCCCTGAGAACCGCATTGGACTGCACCCACCCCTCCTGGATTCCAAGACCAACTCAATTATTCTTGTTGTGAGTTAAACCCTGAATAAATTCCTTTGACCTTCGAATAGACTCCGTGGAATTATCCCATCATCTGGCCCCCCTTTTCCCATTAAAACCCTGTCTCGAAAAACAACAATGAATAATGATAATGATAATAATAACAATCATAAAAATCTTCCTTTAAAATCCCCAATGCGGACCCACTAGGTGGCTTCTTCTTTGGGACAGCCCGCTCCAATCTTTCTCTGGAGTGTAGGTTTGCTTTGCTGAATAAATGTTTACTTAACTGTCCATGTCTCTCAACTGAATTCTTTCCTTTGAGAAGACAAGAACAGAGAGAGAGAGAGAGAGAGAGAGAGAGAGAGAGAGAGAGAGAGAGCCTCGCAACAGCAACCAAGTCAAAGGCCACATGATGGTTGGTTTGCTTTGTTTCCTGTTGTGAACATATAGATAAAGAGGCGTGATGGGAATACCATCTCCAACCATAGGTAGGAAGGTTAACCTTGGTTGTCAACTTGCTTGGATCTGAAATCAACTAGGAATCAAGCCTCTGGTCAGGTATGAAGGTGTTTCCTGGAAGGATTAAATTAGAGGGAGGCCCCTCCCCCGGGGTGGCATCTTCTGCTGGGAGACCCAAGTAAGAGGTAGAGAGAGGGAAGCAATGCTGTATTTGCCTACCCACCTTTGCCCCTTGCTGGTGAGCACATCTGTGATATTGCTGCCACCAGCCTTTCTGACATCAGAACCCAGCTTCTTTGGCCTTCTCACGTGGACAGAAAACCAGGAGCCCTCAGTGTCAGATTGGGACTGCTAAGGCATCCAGCCTCATGGACTGAACCACCACCAAGTTCTCACACTCTCCAGTATGCAGATAGCCACTGTTGGACTGCCCCAGGCCCTATCCTGTAAGGCAACCTAATAAACCTCCTTTATAGCGCATACTCTGTTCTGCTCCCATGGAGAATTCTGACTGATAGATCAGACCTGCCTGGATTCTTTCTCTTCTAAGCAAGGGACTCAATACAAATTGCCTTTTGTAGAGAGATCTGTGTGTTTCCCTAACTAAAAAGCTCTGAAGCAGGCCCAGCAGGCTCTAGGGGCACAAAAGATATCACTAGAACTTATTTCTTCCTGGCCTGCCTATGCTGGCTAGTTTTATGTCAATCTGACACAAGCTAGAGACTTTTGGGATGAGGGAATCTCGGTTGAGAAAATGTCCCCACCAGATTGGCCTGTGGGGCATTTTTGGGTTGATGTGAGCTCATTGTGGGAGGTGACACCCCTGGCCAGGTGGTCCTGGGAGCTATAAAACAGTAGGCTGAACAAGCCATGGGGAGCAAGCCAGGGATCAGCACTCTACCAGGGTTTCTGCCTCAGTTCCTGCCTCCAGGGTCCTGCCCTGACTTCCTTCAATGATGGACTGTGATGTTGAAGTGCAAATTGCTTTTGGTTCATGGTGTTTAGCACAGCAATAGAAACCCTAGCCAAAGTACTGCCTAAAGTAATTTCCTTCTTTCTCAGATCAGCTTCTTTTCACAGACCGGTCTCTAGCAGCTCCAGGATTACTCTGTCTCACCTTAGCGGACCAGTGGACAAAGGGCGTCTTCTCTTTTGATCCTCCCAGCAAAATCCCAGAATGTGGTGGGAACGCACATCCTTAGAGCCAGTTTCTGAGGCCAGCTTACCGGGATAACTGATTGGCTTGGACAAATCTGAAGAGCAGTATGGGCCAGCCCCAACATGCTGACTGGTACAAGAAAAGGTGACTTCCAGGAAACAGGGGTGCTCTTGCCAGAAGAGGGGGAAGCAACAGGTATCCAGGACAGAGTGATTGCTAAGGTTTCCACATATTTCCCTACCTTCTGTGAGGCTTGCTTCATGAGGAGGAAAAGAATCGGGTAAATGAGTGAGAAGTGGAGGTGACCGGCTGCAAGGCAGGGAAGGGGAGGGGAGTGGGAGCAGGGGAGGAAGCCTACGGGTGGTCAGGCAGGAGAGCACGTCCATCTAGTAGTCTTAAGGGACATGACAGTGAGGGGGCCATTCAGGGAAGAGTGTCAAGGGCAGGCAGGCCCAGCTTTCAGGGAGCAGCCATCCCCAGCCCCAAGCATGCATGGTGAACCAAACACCCGCCCTCCTAAGTACCTGACCTTCTAAGCACCCATCCTACCAAGTACCTGATCCACTAAGCACCCATCCCACCAAGCACCTGTCTCACCCAGCACCTAAACCACTAAGCAGACCACTCCTAGCAGGCTCTGCCCATAGGTAAGGTGAAGTGCCCAGAACAAAAGATTTGAGGAACATATTGCCCCACTTTGGGTTTTGACTTCCGGGCTCTTGCTCAACACTGTGGGGTGTGGAGTTTCAGGCCTTCCTAATCTGGCTGTTGACAAATTCACCCCCACAAACTCAGTGGAAAATGTCAAACAACCCAGGCAGCTTCCCAAAACACATCTCTGCTTCCCTAGGGTGCTGTCTTTGGGGCCCTGTCTCTCCAGCATTTGCTTAAGGAGGATGCAAGCCTTAATGCCCAGATGGGTTCTCATCCCAAGAATGCCCTGCCACAAGCACCCAGGCCACAGGGCAGATTATCATCGCTTCCTGTACCTCCCCTTCAGTGGAGCCACGAGAGCCCTGGCTTGGCGGAGGCCACTTTCGTGTGTTTTTGACAGGATTGCATGTGCATTCTTGGCACCTGGCTTCTATGCAACTTGATGTTGTGTGACATACGCTGTTGCCCGTGCTTTCCTGCTCATTACTGTCGTCCACTTCTACATTTTCGTAACCG